TGTAAGCAGGTGGAATATCCTGCCCATGACAGGAGGGGCTGGGACTAGATGATCTGTAAGGTCCATTCCAACCCCTACAATTCTGTGATGAATCCTATGACACCAATACCAAGGAATGACTATTCATATGTAATTGCATATGGGAAGTATTCCTAAATGCACTTAATATGAGACTTAATTTTTCCTATTCACCTCCCCTCAAGGATGAACTATTATTCCTTTCTTCCCCCCTCCCCTACCCCAATGTCCTTCAGGAATGATGTGCTACCATTGTTTTTTCCCCATTTACTAATGTGTCTTTCTCTCCAATTGGCCTAGATCCTGGTTTATAATCCAGCTTTTATGAAATACATCTATGAAAACTGGCTCGAGCATCATGGGAGATATCCCTCCACAGGCCTTTTGTCTTTAATGTTTGCTCTCCATGTATGCGATGAGGTAAAGTCTGGCTGTGTTTGGATATATGTATATATATATGTGTGTGTTTGGACATATATATATATGTGTGTGTGTTTTGGATTTTCCCTCACTGGAGACATTCTAGAACCATCTGGACACAATCCTGTGTCATGTGCTCTAGGATGGTCCTGCTTGAGCAGAGAGGTTGGACCAGATGACCCACTGTGGTCCCTTCCAACCTAACTGATTCTGTGATTCTGTGATATGGATAAAAAACCAGGACATTTTACACTGAAGAGCCAAGAACAACCCCTGTCCACTCACTCAGCCTTTTTCCCCCTCTCCACCTTCTCTGTCATGTACTTCAAACAGATAGAGACTCCTCAGTAACATGCAGACACACTCAGTTGGCAGTCATGGAATTTTTAATGTCAGCAAGTAGTAAGGTTTAAGATGCAGTCCAGGGGAATGTAGTTAAATAGAGAGATTCAGCTTGGTATCAAAAGACATCTAAACATGATGGTGTCTGTGCCCATCTTGTTAGTGAAAGTGCTGATTATATTTTGCCACACTGTTAAAGGACCAAGAGCCATTGGTGTTGCCCTGGGCATGCCCTCTGGCTATAGCTGTCAGGCCAAAAAAGCATGAATCTCTTGGCTTTGTGTGACTTCTGCCAGCCTCCTGTAGATGTTTTGAGTACTCAAAGACATCTCAAATGACACTTACGTTTAACAACTGCACTGAGGTCTTACCTGTCTAATCAATGGTGCCAAGAGGTTGATTCAGCAGACCAACTTCCTGGTATGACACTGGGGAGCAGAATTGCTCCCCAGTATACAGTGACTGTGTTGCCTGAATCACCACTGACTGTAATGGATGCCCAGGCACCTCCATTTGGATATCTAAATCTTAAACATAATCACACCTGAACAACTTCGACCCCAGCTCTTATATAACCCCATTTGGCAAATGCAGGTGGCCTATTTTCAAACTCAAGCTTGTGGGTTTATTCTGTAGGTTATACTAAATGCCTCTGCTCCAGCAGTTACTTGAGGAAATTACCTGGTTTAAGTGATGTGAGGTGCTCCTAGGTGACTGGTGACTCAGCTAGTTAGAGTAAGGCCAGGTCTGCTCTACACAATCCTGCAAGCATGGGGAATAAAAATCACTATGCTGGCAAAATCCCTGTACTGGACACAGATCTACTGATGAAAGAGTTTTGATCACCCAGGCCTGTTTTGCACCTTGGAGAGGTGATGGAAATACTCCTAAAGATGCTGGAAGAGACTGTACCATAGTTACAACAGATAGGATGGGCAGCTTGGCTGGAGCCTGTTTACTGGTAAGCAGGCAATGAACAGGGCTCTGATGTCACCAAAAATAACTTCAAACCAGATCATATTTGGGTGGGCCTAGGTGTGGGTGATTTAGGACACACTTTTTGCGGCTATGACACATTGAAACCCAACCATATTACCACTCTGTTTAAATAAATTAACTGTGATGTTTGGACTTGTACCATCAGAGGAGACAGGCATAGCCACTGATGAATAAGCCTTTGGGAGAGGAAAGACTGTAGGTGTATACACACACAAAGAACATAATGTCCATCTGCCTCTGAAGTAACTGCAAATGTCATATAATTAAGCATATAAGTGGGGTCAACATGGGTCATCATTTGGAAGACTAGGACCAAATCAAAATCTTTACACTCTTTTTGGCCTTAATCGGCTAAAGAGGAAATTCCCATCCCAAGCCACTGATCTCTTGAGGTCAAACATTATGCTTAGGGTACAGGAATATGTTTTCCATGCTGCTAAACAGTAATTAATGGATAAAAATTTCCTTTTATCTCTGAGTTTTGGTATGGTGGTGTCTCAGCATAGCTTGGGATGTAACATACCTTGAATAGGCCTTGGATGGTTACTCTGTGGTTGCATCATGTCATGCAGCAGAAGAACTTGTCACACCACTGAGGTCCTGTGCAGTGTTGCTGCCTATAAATACACCAAGAATCAAGAGTTTTTTCAACATTTCAGACAAAGACCAACTGCTTTCCAGTCCTTAACACTAGTTCTCTCTTACATCCTAGGTGAATGTGTATGGCTTTGGAGCAGACAGCAGAGGACACTGGCACCATTACTGGGAAAACAACACTTCAGGTGGTGCTTTCCGGAAGACAGGTGTCCATGATGGGGATTTTGAGTTCAATATAACTTTGACTCTTGCCTCCATTGAAAAAATAAAATTTTTCAAGGGCAGATGACCCTGGCCACAGGGAGAAGTGGGGGCTGCAATTTCCAACGTGCAGCAGAGCAAAGCTCAGTGAAGACAATCTGGGCACCAGCCAGGTTTGAATGAGTGGATCTGTGGTGGATGTGGAGCATCTCACGCTGCAGGGAACTAGACCAGCTTCACGCCACACGTCATTTCCGACCTACAGTTAGCCGGGAGCTGTCAATCAGTTGTTGAAATAAATTAATCTCTGCTTAGGCTCTACAGCTTGATTCTTGAATTACTGCTGAAGGATCTGCCTGTTGCAACTAGGGGAGACCTGGGCACGGGAACTCTGGTCTGTCTGTCCGTTCTATCCTTGAGCAAGGCAGGAGATCCTTGAAGAAGAGAGAAATTGACTTCTGGGACTTGAGACCTGCTAAGGCAGCTGTGAACATCATAGCAAGGATTACCTCAAAGAAATGAATTCACTTCTGCTGGTTTCGAACTATTTCTTGTTTTCTCTAATACTTCTGTTTTTGTGCTGTATTAAGGAAAAACATGATGGAGTTGCCTGGAGTAGTAAATATTTCAGTCATTACCTCATTCTGCATTGATAGTGTCTAGAAAATATGAATCAAATCATGTCATCATGTATGATTTAATATTGCTTCCTATACAGCCATAATGGTGGAGAAAACAACACTGAAAACTTCAGATAAAAACGAAACAAACAGCCTTTTTAGCCACTTGTTTGTCTTGTTTGTATGTAATTTGTTTTGAGTTTTTTTGTTTGTTTTGTTGGGGGCTTTTTGGTGAAAATACTCTGGAATGGTCTTTTATTTTAATCAGTTTAAGGTTGGAAATTGGACTTTCTTCTTTAAGTCAATTATATGTGCCTTTTATAATTGTGCAACAGATGTGATTTTTTTAAGAGGACAAACACTAAATTAAACTTTTTTATAAAAGGGGGGAAATTAACCAAAGTTCAGCCTCCATCTGGTATGCTTTTGTAGTCAAAACCAATAAGAACAACTCCTGTATTGCATTTGAGCAAACACAAACAAGACTAATTTTTAAAGGTAGCTTTTGCCTTTTTTTATGGGAAAATATCCAAAAGTCCCAAGGAAACTTTTGTTCTTATTTTTTTACAAATTTAAGAAGTGGTATCTCTTTACAAGGTCTCTATTTGAAAAGGAAAAAATAATCACGGGTTGGAATACCAACCAGTAATACAATAAGAATGTTTTTGCTCTGTAGCAGCACCTGCAAAGACACAATCTGCACAGGGTGCTCTTACAGCATGAGACAGACTTCAAAATTATGTGCATCTCTGAAGGAATGAGTGTATTAATATCAGTACCTCTAGGCAGTGAGAGGAGGGAAGTTACAGTGGAGGTTTTATATCCATAGGTTTTTGCTGGAATCAATGCATTTAAGCCTCAAGGACAGATAAAGTATGAATTCAAGTTCAGATAGTGAAGAATGGAGAACAGTGGTCTTTTCTTTCTGGTGAAACCAATGGAGTTCTTGCCACAGACTTCAAGGGACTTTCAATCAGTCTTGGAAAAAATGACATTTTTATTTTTTAATGTATCAGATTGGTTGGGATTTATGGCTAAAGAAATCATCATCTAAATGTCTCCTCTTCCATGCACAGTTATGGCAGGATGTCCAAGCAGATAAGTATTTGGGCTCAGTAAAAGTCCTTCAACCAGTGATGTGCTTCATCCAGGATTTGTCCCCTTGTCTTTCCATGACAGTTGGTAACAGTGAGCTCCCTCCAAGGCAGCAGTACACAGCACAATGTCATGGTCATCCAGAGTATCCCTATGTTGGGCCACAGCACTGCTGCTTTACCCACATGAGTATTACTGGACTCATGGCATATGAAGAGCTGAGGATGCCAAACATCTGTGTGGGGAATTGAGCTCCCTTTGCTGTGCATGTGACCCTTCAGTTTAGCAATATGGAAGGGGCAGATTTTCAAATCCTCATGCTGAGACCTGTTGACAAGCCTCATGTCAAGAAGCCCTTTCCCAGCGTGGTGGCCAGCAGAACTCACCTCCATGTCACAGGAACGGCAAAAATCAATGGGTTTACTGTCTTCTACATGTCCTTTGTGAAAGAGTGAAGCATTTCTACCCGAACCATGTTTGTTTGTTTGCTTTAAGCA